CAGAGACATTTTTTAAAGAACTCGCACGGGAACCCATAGTGTTTACAGACACATTGGCACGAAAAAGTGGATGCATATCTTAAATGATGTTTTCATAGTCTCAAAACTTAAACGAATAATTAAAAATAAAGTCCGGTCTTGCGACTCATGTCAAAGGGTCAAAACGTATACTGGGTCAACAAGATTTGAAACACGCCTGATTATTCCCAATGGGCCACATGATCTCTTATCTATCGATTATAATGGGCCATTACCAGCATCAAACGGAGGAGTCCGATATATATTGGTAACAGTTGACGTTTTTACTAAGTTTGTTGCTTTATACCCAATTAGGAGGGTGACTACGACAGTTACGTTAAAACGGTTAATTGATCATTATTTTACTCATTACGGTAAGCCCAACCAGATCTAAAGTGATCGTAGAAAATACGTCCCGTTGATCCAAGACTTTATGAACAAAACTTACCACGAAACTACAGAATATACCCCGGTCGAATTACAGTTAAATAAAAAACCTACCTTGTTTTGGGAAAAATATCTTCCACGTGAACCCTGACTAGATATTGATTGGAAACAGAAACTTATCTTCGACACAAGTAGGATCCAAAAAAGGGGATCCTGCGCGCTGACAAGTATAATAAACCTCGTAGCTTACAAAGATATAAATTATACAACTCAGTTTTAGTCAAGACATGTAATTTTTCGATTGCCCAATCTAGAATAACCGCGAAATTTTTACATCTTTACGAAGGGCCGTTCTCAATCACGCGTATAATTCATAATGCAACTTATGAACTTTCAGATCCCAAGTGTCGGAAGGTTCGCGGGATCCGAGTTGTGACCTTATTTCGAAACCAACAGGGGTCAAACGCAGAAGGTGACACAAATTTAACTGGAAGATGAAGCGTCTAAGATTGCAACTGGCCCAGATTCAGAAACGTTTGGCGGCCATGCAAGCACAATTTAATACCCCAAAATTTGATCCAAATCCAATTGTCGAATCTCATGACCCTGACGGTGACATTTTGGTTTTGGATTTTTGACGAACCATGGGAGAAGCTTGATGGAATGAGTCTGAGTCAGTAGTCCTTAGAATTAATCAATGTTGAAAGTATGACAATTTTTTGTTTAAATTTCTTCGTCCCCTGTTGATGATTTGTCTATATATCGCCTTTTTTCTTTTGACTTGATCTCCACGAACCGTCTGAACGCGTCGTGTTGGCCCCTTTATTGACTTTGTTTTCACTAGTATGAGAGAAGTCTACCAAAATATCTGGCGACGTTTTGAACATGCGTCATGAACAGTAGAACGAATGCTCAAGAATAAAGCCAAACGTCGAGCGAGAGAGATTAGGCACCGCACTTACTGCCATGCTCATCGGGCACGTCGAGAGAGACACAAGAGGGATGCACGACTTTATTATCTCTACCATGGCCTTAGTTCTTTGAGTTCTCCAGGAATAGCAAGGGAGGGTGGCCGATTGACTCGAGAGGTATCAACCTAAACTTCAGAATCGGCGATCCGTGACGCACACCACTAATCTCGCAAACGAGAACAGGAAAGATGTAGAAGGGACCATCTCAATTGCATGTCTCTAGATCAACGTGTTGAGTGTTTTCGTCGTGAACATATGATGAAGAACATGTAAACTGGAGTCTACATCGACTCAATAGACAATAGTATTCCACTTCTTTTCTTATATCCTGTGTCGTCACTATTCCATGTTGTCTTTGATGAATAAAATTTTTTTTTTGTTATTATTAGGTAATCCTAATATATTTTTTTTGTGTGTGTCTTAGGCCATGATGCATCGTAACCTGGCTCTCAATTGTTCTCGACCTCTCAAGGATTTGAGGTGTATCCAAGTCCTTGTCGAGGCCGCCATCAAGTGGGAGGAGTGACGCGTTTCGTTCCTCAGGTGTCAAAGAAGGGATCGTCAGCAAACGGCAACTCATCGACGTTTTGTGACGCCTTCACCCGAATTGGTTGACCTCACCCTCAGCGATGACAAAGTTTCCGCGGCCATAAACACGAACTCCACAATTGGGTCTGAGAATCAATTAAGTTCAGACGATTCATCTACCTTTACGTCTAATATGGTTAGAATCCCTAGACCAGTTCCGTCATTAACCAATTACGAAGATTATTACCCTTGTTTGTTGGATGCGGAGTCTGTTCATTTAAATGAGATTTAGTAATATCGCCTTGATTGGAAAAAATAAACCATGTTTTTGGGTTGTTTCGTTGTTTTGAAATTATTCATTGTAATTTTTATTCATTCTTAATTATGTTTATCATAAGAACTAGGAGGGGCAATGCGAGTTTTCGCTCATTGGTATATCCTGAAAAGGCTATATACATACATATTGTATCACCTTTACTTTGTTTATCTTCGGAAAATAATTACGAAGAAATCTAACTTGCGTGGCTCGACGCAAAGTTAACACATTGGGCTTTTGCGCAATAGAGTTTTGGGAGATAAGGCCGTAAAATTCAGGTATCTGGGGGTATCGAGGTGACGAGTCAGATGACGTTAAAGGAGAAGGCAGTTTTTAATCACGGAAGGAAACAGCAAGGTCTCCCCAGTGATCTAAGGTGCCTTGGATACTTTTCTTACATCACGCTTCAAATTTCTCGATTGAGTGTAAGTAGGCATCCCGTCTGAGCCACAAAGCCTTGCAACTCGTTTTCGAGTGGATTAAGGTAAGTGGGTAGTAAAACCCAAGTTGTTTAATGATCAACTGAGTGCTGGCCCCAGTACCGGCTGTGTGGTACAAACGGCCAATCTCTTTCCTCTCCGATATGTGATAAGTTTGTTTAGTAGTTTGTCTTCCTGAATCTGGAGCTTTTGTGCATCTGGACGCGACAACCCATGGTTTTCCTGGCGTCAAGCCTCTGTGTTCCTTTTATTCGAATTTTGTTTTTATTAGTCCTAATTTGTATCATTTTGATTAACGCACTTTTTCACTTGGAATCAGTAAATTTTTGAGTTAATCATGAACGAATCAAGGGAGATTGAGCATTATTTATAACGTTTAGTGTAAATTATAAGAATTTTTGTTGCGTACATACTAAAGAATATGAATTCGTAAGTCAAAGTCTTCGTTACACAAAAATTTAAGTAGAATCTAATAAGAGTAAACTGTGCGATTAACACGTTGTAACCAAAACAATCATGCGTTAGTATTTGCGAAGTCCCAAGGCGAAGACAGGCGCGACTTTCAAAGTTCTGGGAAATGCGTTCCACGAGAAAAATGTTAGGGAAGGATACACTGTATTAATCGGATTTCTATAATCAGTTCTGTTCTGACAGTATATCACGCGACGAGGTTAGTTTTGCTTATTTCAATGTGAATATTAAACGTTGAATAAATTGATTTTTTATTTTTGTTTAATAAAATTTTAGATGTTCATGTCACTTTTGTTGCGATCCCAACCTCACCTTCATTAGATATAAATCTATTCATATTTATTTCAAATCATTGATCTACGATTGTCTTATAGGTGCAATTGATATATCTAATTTATACTCGTTGAATTAACTACATGTTCTCGTTCACAAAACAAGAACTTGCAAAGTGCACGTAGCTATTTTCATCTGCTCTTTCTTTCTTCTACACGACTTTTTTTGCAATGCTTACTTATCTTACAAACCATTACCACTACAGTTTTTATTAAATTTTTATTGTATTCTAATCTAAACATCATAATAAGCATGGCTACACGATGCTCACAACTACCTGACAACTCAGCTTTACAGGGGCATTTACATACGATTTTGTGTATGTCCGCAGTTGTTGTTACAATAACATTGGATTTTTAAGGAGAGCACCGAACGAATCACATGTTTGCAGACAAAGTGCAAGTAATTGTAGTCTTTTAACTATATCTGCAGTGATACCTATATAAATTACGTGATTTGCATTTGCCAGACTCTCACCTTTAATCTACTGTAAAGAACCTGGCTCCACGTATTTAATCACATCACTTTAATCAACTAAATAATATTAACTACAATTCTACAAATAATTACAGTAGTACAGACGTACGCAATAATGAGACGATTCACATTAAATTTAAACCATTGGTGGCGGGACCAAACTCAAGTTCAGATAAACTACGCTCGGGGGGCTAGGAGTTGGCTTAAACCTCGAATAGAGTAATATACTAAAATCGCAAACTAACAAATGTCGTAGGAAGTAAAAACAGTCACCTTATTAAACTTTTTTTTGGGTTTCCCATTAATAGCTTATGAATATTATAATAGGATTATTCTGTAGTAGTTGCTACTTAGTTACTCAACGATTAAATTTTGCTAATGGATTGTTGAAATTCAGTATCAAAATTTTAAAATGGACTTATTTTTCTTTTTTCCTATGTAACTTAATTTCTTTGTTATTAAACAAGACTTTAAATTTATTTAATGAATGAATGATATAAAATAGACAGACATTGAATTACGACTAAATCAATACAGTGCTTTCCATAGTTCTGTTTTTATTAATGCAATGACTAAGAATGTCTTGTGGATTGAAAATTAAGTCCAGCATTAAGATGATGCAAAAAAAAAAATGTCTTATAAACTACATTTAATGCCCTATAAACTAAATTTCAGAAACAAATAGGTATTATTTACTTTGATTATCTGAATTTAGCTCGATTAAGTATAATTCTGACTCTTAAACAACGTCCATGCTATTTTTCTAGATGATCAGCTTACTGTTTTGATAAGCAATGAGTTAAAAAATGCAACGAAAAATGTTTTAATATGACACATACCTTGAATTACTTAAAAAGTATTATATCCTTAACCTTTTACAAGCATACGTTTAGAAGTTACTTGACACGTTGTATACGTTAATAACATTTCATCAAAATAAGTGCAAGGTATAGGAAGGTTTTTAACAACACTTTTACCTAGTTCTAATTTTCTAACTGTATATTTTTTCATTATGTTACTAATTTTTGTTCAATACAGTAACTATAAATTTCTTTTTAGCTACAGCTATAGTCAACATAGATAAGCCAGCTGCTAAAGGCAAAGATAAAACAATAGGTGAAAGCTCACATGTCTTAGAAGATTTTTGGCAAACTTCCATGGGAAAGTTTAAATTTTCTATCAAGGATTTACCAGAGCAATTGCAGTATACTTTTAAGCTATTTGAGGTAACTATTTTTTTTCTAAATAACAGCCACAAACATATCAAGTTAAAACGCAAAAAAATACTAGTACTCATGATTCTTAGAATACTTTACGAGATTCCTTGCAGAAATCATACAATATTACATATTTCTAACAAATGCTAAGTTTTTTTTACAAAAAAGTTTTTATTGAAGCATTTCACTCTAACATACAAGAAGTATTAGTTGCAATTAATGCGTATAAAATACAGTGTGAAACAAAATCATAAACAAAATAAAATTTTTTATATTATCTTATCCAAAGTTATCTGATAAACGAAATGAAAGTCACGAACTCCTTAAAACTATGTGTAAGGATACTTATAGAGTGTATAAGGCCTTTGGAGAAATGAAAATTGTTGGTTTTTTACATCCTTCTTCATGTATGAAAATAGCTATTTTCACCTTTTTTTTAATTTTATACATTAATATTTTAATTGTTGTTGTTTTCAAGGAAAAGTTAGAAAATAATTTTTCTGTTAATAGCCCGAAGATATATAAAAAAAATTTTCCGAGTCAAAAAAACAATTTATAAAATTTGCTTAAAAAAATTGTTTAAACAACTTTGGACTATTTTTTGGACCAGGCCACCTGGCCAAATTCGTTTTAAGAAGATAAATTGACATAAAATATAAAAAGAAAACTAAGTTAAAATGTTTTCTCCAACGAATTTTCCGCTGTGATTCGAAGTAATACATTAAAGAACTGGCAGCCCCTGTATTAGCTTTGCTGGATATTAACTAAGTAAAGCACAGGAATGTATCAACACGTAATTCTAACTAAAACGAGTTTTTGTTCAGAATTTCTGCCGTCTTATTCGGATACTAAACTACGAAAAAGTTAGACAAAATATCATGATAGTAGTAAATATTATGCATCCCTTACACAAATAAAAGTAGTTGGTGGCCGTTGATTTGCAGTTTCTTACATTATAATAAATAGATAGAGCTATTCACTTTAGTTGTACGTATTAACAACTGATAAGAAATATATAATTAAGGTATTAGATAGTCAATGCAAAGGTATCCAAGTAAAAAGTTACTCTTTTATATTATTATATTTGAACAACAACATCAGTATAAGTAACTTAAGTTTCTAAAGGATATGTGCCAGTCACATGCCAAATTAAATATTTCAGTTTGTCATAATTATTTTTATTCATACAGTAAGACAATAACTTAAAACTTTTTAAATACAAGAACAATTGCTGCATAAGCTTAGACAGCACTAAGACGTAGCACCTTCACAATCTATCAGAGCAATACAGCTTTTTGTATCGCTTACTCCTCTGGAGGTTATTTTAAAAATATTCAGACCAGATAGCATAACTTTCTCGTTTTAGTGGTAACCCAATACTAATACCGTGTAGGTACAACCTATATCTGCTGAAACACTGATTTTAAACTACAATGAGTAACAATTTTAAGCATATTTTGTTGTTAGGATTTTTTTTCCTTAATTTGACGTACTGCTCTCTTCAAGTATGCAGTACAAGCTTCTTTAAAACTATTATTTGGTTCCATATTGCTTTCTAATACATTTCGTATTCTTCAAGCTAGTCATTAGGTGTTTTTTAACATTAATTAAAAAAAAACATTTTCTCTCTTCTAAAGCTCTGCCGATTAAGATTTGCACTTCTAGCTTGTTACTTGAATTTTCAATGCATTATCAATATTCTTCGATAGTCTTACATGCAAAGAAAAGGCTAAGGCAGCTTTTTTCGTTCACTCTATGAGTTTGAAAGTAGTAACGTGTGAACCAGTTTGTCACTGTTTGGCAATGTAGTTATAAGGTTATTGGATTCTATCAAATTAAAATACGTAATATAATGCATGCTGTATCAACAACAAATTTTCGATTCGAAGAAACAATGTAAGTTATAAAAAGAACATTAAGAAATCTATAAGCTTTGTTCAACAAAATATAAATAATCATATTTATATCAATATATACATCCTCTTTCAATATTATACAGTTGTATTGACAAAAGTGAGTCTCAGCCTCCCCGCTCCCCCCACTCCTCCCTCCGCTACCCCTCAGCACCTCTCGATTCACATAGTTAATTGCTTGTTTTTACGTCATTTTTCATCAAATTATATTTAAGTAACCTCCTTCCACTCCCCCCGCTACTTCCCTCTCCTCCCAGCTCCTCCATAGCTCCCCCTCAGCTCCTCCTCGCACCCTGTCCACCACCCCCTATACCTCACCCCAAAAAATACTTATTTAAAGAGTATTTAACCATCTAAAATGTTAAAAAATGTATGTAATTTAGTACCTGAATTATACCTCGTTTTTAGGGTTTTTCACGTCACTGATTATAGGTTCCCTTCTGTCTATTCTCTTACCCTTACTCTCTATATACCTCTGAAGGACCATTATTTGTTTAACTTGATTAAACTTTTACATTCAGAATCGCTTTCTGGTCCATGTGTACTTGACCTAAATATGAAATTCTTGATTAACTGAGGACTTTATTTACAAAAAAACAGAGTTCAGGAGCAGATATAATTAAATAGACAAAGATAATTACGCTTTTAAAACTATAATTCATTTTGTTTATTTAATGTTATGACATTTAATGTGTTATTTTCACTCATCTGTTTTTATAAAATCCTTTCCACATTTTTCACACATTTTTTTTGTTTCATGGTCTTAATAAATTAACATATGTCTGTTTAAATGTGACGATATTTGAAGTTACATATTTTTGAATTACTCAAAAATTTCTTGCTTAGCAATACTTTAAATTTCTAATTTTATTTTGGATTCAATTCGAATAAAAATTCTTTTTGGATTCTTATATCTTGATAGAGCAACGTATAATGGGCCGTGAGAGAATAAAGGTTTTTAATATACAATCCTAAGAAATCAAAACTCTTTTCTTGTGATTTGTTGATAAACAGACAATTATAATACAGAAGGAGATTATTTTCTGTACAAAACAAAAGTAATGATGATGAGGTGCCAGTATTCAATGTTATTCTAGGAATATAAGCTTTGCTGTTTTTTTCTCCTGTGATGATCTCTGCTTTTATATTATACTTAAATAATTTTGTTATTTTTAATCTTGTGCAATTATAAAGACCGTCTGATATACTTAAATTTCTTATGAACATTACTATAGCGTTTATTCTTAATTTTAATTCGTGTTATGAAAGAACTCCTCTGATATTATTAGAAATTCTACTAGAAAATGAATATTTATGTTATCATCTGTTTTATTAACTTTTTCGTGAGTCACGTATTCTGCTGTTGTAAACTCATTCTCAGTCTGCATTACGGTGTAAGATAAGACAGGTGGTACGAAGTACCAGCTCTATGCCTTGTGCGGTCTGTTGCAATTTTGTAGCGGTAACAAAATTGACCACCAGGAAGATTGGTGTCGAAAAGGCAGTAGTAGACGAGAAAACCACTGTAGTGTAAAAGGTGCACCAAAGTGTAAATACTAACTTTAACATTTCTCAAAATATTGTTCACGATAAGTTGTATTACTTATTACGTCACTGATTGTATGTGTCGAAAACTACAAAAAATATTTGAAAAATACACCACATGTTAAATTACTTCGAATAGTAATCCTAGAAACTCTGCTAATCAAAAGGCATCATTAATTAACTTAAAAAATAGCTAAGAACTCATTCATGCAAATACTTTTTCTTACAAACTCTTTAATAAAATAGAAGACTATTTCAGGGAAGCCATTATTAATCAGCTTGTCAATGTTTTTACGAATATGTTGTTGAAAATATTTTGCGCAATAAGTCTCAGTTCCCCTGTAAACTTCATAAAGAGGATGCAATGTCCAAATTTAGCCATCATTATACTACCGTGGGAATAAGTTATACGTTAACATAAAAAATAAGAATGTTTTAAAAAAAAGTATAGAGTAAAAAAAATTATAGAAATTGGTTTTAACCTAATCGTTAAGTTAATTATTTATTACCTTGGTTGTATCTTATTCTACGTATTAGTAGTAGATTGTTAAATTTGTATATAAATGAACTTACGATTATATCATATAGTTTTCATATCTATATTTTGTGCCTTTCTTACTCATACACCATTTGACGAGCATGGTCGGTACTGTTACAAAACTGCAACCCGTTGGAGGTGTTACTTTGTACCACCTGTCGTATCTTACACCGTGGTCTGCATTCATAATTACACGAGTAATGTTGTTATTTTGTCTACTCAATCAGTTAGTGGGGAGTTGGCGTGTGGAGCGCGCAGGGGGGTGCTAGTCATATATATATATATCTGATTGGTGTGCTTGTTAAAAGAAAATTTCATTGAACTTTTATTTTAAAGATTTAAACTCAAAAAATTAAGTAGAATAATTGAAATTTGTAATTGGGACTAACAGCTTACATTTCCATAAACAATTATTTGATGTCATGTACACTTCGAAAGATTTGTGAGAAACAGACAGGTTTTTATATTCGAAGAAAAGATAGGTTTAAAATATAGTTGTATTTAAAAATAAAAAATACAATAATTGCTAATTGTTTTTCTTACTTAAGGAAGTTCTATGAATAACATAATTAACGATACAAAATAGATAAAAATTGATCTACGAATTAATAAAGTCATTAAAACGACACTGTCCCAATTTGAAGGCAGAATGGTTTCTCAGAGCTAATTAATTAAAATTTATATTAAGCTAATCTTCACATGTAGGCTTATGGGCTATCGTCTTTTTAAGCGCTTTTATTGCACTTACTCCGCCTATAAACTATAGACTTTAAATAAATATTTTATCAGTAAAAAAAATTAACTAATGATCTTACTAAATTTCATTTAAAATCTGGAAGGTCTTGATAAGAGAACAAATTCATCATTAAGTGTGGTTAAAAATACAAAAGGGTACGTTGTCACAGGAAAGCGAAATAGACAGACGACATACCAAACTGTGGAGAGCGTCGCATGGACTATAGCAAGAGATTCAACCTCCTTAAAAGTAGGTACATGGAAAACTGTTGTTACCGAAAAAAGAAGGTTCTTTATGTTAGTACAAGTACATTTCATACTCCTTACCGAAAAAAACGTACTAACACAGGTATATTTGGAGTGGTAGTACACTTTAAACGACCTTACTTAGTGCAACTATTCTGTATTATTATGGGGGG